AGTCCTTAGATTATTGCGAGCACATACAGTCTTAAAAGCAAAAATCAAATAATACCATTTATCTCATAATTGACTTTAGATGACATCGTAAAATCTAAAAATTATGATAAATTTATGTGTAGAGTGTTTATAAATATTTAAAAGATCATTATGACAAAATATAGTCTAGAGTATTTATATAGCTTCCAAAGTTGGCATTTTATTATATTTTTTCTATTAATTTATAATTCTATTTACTATTTTTTTATTTTTTATTGTCAAATTTTTAATTAAATAAAAAATGATTTAAATTTATTATTTTACTAATGCCTTTAAATGACTAATAATATTTAATTGGTATCATAGTTATAATCAATTTGTATGTATTTGTAAACAAATTACTTATCCAATAATATATGTATTTTTTGATCATATTGCTTTTATTGTAATTGATATTCTTATTGCTCTTTTCAATTAACTCTGAATCCCGTGAATTCCATTATAAACACATCTGGCTTTAGCCATCCCCCAAATATAGAACAACTAAAAGAAAAACTTGCTTGTATGTAATGATAAATATAATTCTCTCCCAATCATCCTCTTAAATTATAGCATGCAATTAAATATCTAATTCCTCTGCATACTTATGTACAAGCTAAGGAAGACTTCGATGTGCTTTTTAATTTTAATTTTAAGTTTGATCTTTCTGAAGGAGTTGAAAGTTGGATAGACAACATTTGGGATAATAAAATTGATGAAATAACACGACCAGAGTTAAAGGGAGTTGATGAACCCTTTATTAAAAATAGTGTCGAGAAATTGTAAGTATGTATATTTATATTTTTTATTCATTATGTAATTTTTGTGCTAACAAATTTTATTTAGATTTAAAAATGCCAAAAACAAAATCTAAAAGAAATCAATGAAGCAACTTGGTTGCAGATGTTATACTGCCAGAGCAATTAATAAAGATTTTGAATATACATTATTCCAGTGGTAACAAGACTAGAATTCACTAAAAAATCAAAGAAATCACATTAGCTTGTTAATTCTGTCAGAATTTAAAGTTATAAATATAGCAAATATGATTTATTAGACTTAAATACATTCTTGTATAAGTCATGCAGTCCTAATGAAGCATGATTCTAAAATTTTAAATTTAATAAGGTCTGAAAGTAAATTTCGATTTGAATTTATTGTACAATAAATTCGGTTTCCTTTGCAGCCCTCATATTATGAATTATGAATTATGATTAGAAAAATTATCACATTCACGAGAGAATTCTATTATCACATTCATGAAAGAATTCTAATTAAATTGTAAACAATTTGGATTCATTAAATTTGAAATTTTGTATTGTATTAACCAATTGAAACTTTATATCTTCAATTAAAAAGTAAAACAATATACTAGTATTAAATGCTTTTTTTTCAAAATAGTATATAAAAGTAAAGGATTCTTCTAACTTTAAACTCTTTTATATACTTAAATTAAAATAAATTACAATATCCAATAATAATAATAATGATGATTTTCTTTCATTAATAATAAATTTATTAAAGAAAAATAATTTTAATATATCAAACTTGAAATATCATAATACCGAGTATTCTACTGTTAAAGTTTCTTTTAGAGAAAAAAAGAAGTTCTCTCGTAATCTTATTATCTGGCATGAAACAATTTCTAATATCAAAGATTATATGAACTTGTATAATACATCAGAAACTTTTAAAAAAAACTTTAAATGATGAACTTGACAAGTGGCTAATCGTTTTAAAATCATTGATGAATAAAGATGGTACTGATTATTTGAAAAATTTTAGTAATCAATCTCAGAAATTTATCAACATAGCTTATATATATGAAATAATATAATTAATCATCTAAAAAAAAGTATATTGCAGAATCTAAAAGAATAACAAAATGTTGCATTGTGAATTAAAATAAATTAAAAGAGGATTCAGTCAAA